GCAGCTACCTCACCCACAAAAAACAACTCTCCCTCACATTTATCATTCTTCCTGCTCACCTGCACTCTGCCAGATCCTCCCTCTGGTATCAGGACTGTGATGACATTCAGGACATCTGCAAAGAAAAAAAAACAAMACCAAGTGACTCTTGTGCTAGGCAGGGAGAAGTAGTCTGATAGCTATAGATACACCAGCATACCCACTGAAGTTTGCCCCACCTCAAATCCTTCATCCGGAAACACAAAAAGTCCACACGGCACCTGAAGGAGTGGGGGAAAAAACAAATCAACGAGAGGCAGCCTGGCAACACCTTACCGCACAACAACAACAACCGCCCCCCTCTCCTCCCCTCTTTCCCCAGGCATCTCCCTCGCCTGCTCTCGGGCCTCTCCTGTCCGCATGGCTTCTCCTCTCAGGGATCCCCACACAATCTGCTAACACCAAAGAGAGCACACCGTGAGGAGATGACAAAAATCACACCCCCTTGCAACAATACCCCACTACAATACCGATCCCCCTGCCAAGTTATACCATCAGGGGAATTATACATAGACTCGCCAATGGCCGCTCTGGGTCATYGCTGTCACRCTGCGCACGCTACRACGGCCGACTCCCTCGGGCGAGAGGGCTCCYGCTGCGCACGCACATCCATGCACACAAACGTCAGACGGACAGAGGAAAAGCCTCATGCAAAAAAGACCTGGGACCGCACAGAAGAGACCGAGGACTAGAGAAGCCCGACAGCGTCGCGACGGCGCTCGGCAGAAGGGCGGATCAAAGTCGAGTGACGCGGCCCGTGTCGGAAAGGGACCGTCAAGCCTGAGAGGGCGATGAGGAAAAGGCCTTCCAAAAATATCTGGTGATGGAAGAAAGCGGGGAAGATGTCCCCGAGAGGGTGCCGGGCTTTTGCCGATGGATGAGGGGGGCAGTAGAAATAGCCAGACATTGAGGGAGAGAAGAGTCATCATTACCGTTACTATCAAATAAGAAAGAAAAGAAACAGTGCATCTACTGAAACAGTAAGCTTACTCAGTACTGAGTTTAAAGTACAGGCAACAAGCAAGGTAACACCCCTAACCATTACTATACGCAAAAGACACTAGCGATCAAGCAAAAGATGCATGACCTGCTGCCTAAATACATTAGTATCGCCCAGATCCGCGGTCGCCCGGGAGTCCCCGTTGCGGCGAGGATTTGGAGAACCTTCCCGGCAACTGGGAGCTCTCACGCGGTGCGTCCACCCGTGAGCGAGGTCTCCAAAGTCGCCGTAAGAGGGTCCTGCGGTTACAAAGCCGAATCGGCAAAACCTGCCATTTTCTTTGTCAGCGGTAACATCTGGTAGGTCCCGCTTTCCTTAGCGTCCAGGGCTGGGACCTGGCCAGAGTCCCAGCTTTGGATGGGAAAGCTTCTTTGGAGCTCAACAACGCTTGCCTGAGAGCCTACAAAAGCTACAGCTTGCTGAGCCCGTGTGCAGGTACTACGGCAAAAGAAGAGCCCTATAAAGCCCTGTACGCAACCAGGACTCGAGCCTGTGGTTCAGGCCCTGGCAGATCACCTGAGAAGGTGCTACACAAGAGCAGCTACCGAGAGAAGAATGTGGCCCTATAAGGCCTTGACAGCGGTCACAAGTTTTAAGGGCCACCAATGGTGACAGCCTGGAGGAGGAGGGACAAAACACCCCGAGTCGCGTTAGCGGCTCAAGACGGGATCCGCTGGCACGATGAGCGCAACCGGGGCCTGGCGGGAAGACGGAGCATGCCTACGTCACGACTGTCGCGCAGAGCTGGATGCGTTCCCAAACCCTGAGTACAAGAGAGACCTCAAGACCTGAGCAACAGCACACAGTTAGAACAGGCACCGCAGAGACACGAGCCGGCGCTTCCTGCCCTGGCGAGCCCACGCTTCCTCCTGCGCGGCGCCCGAGACGCCACCCTCACGCACCGCTCATCCACAAGACGCATCCGTAATGGACACCCCGCACACCCCACGCACCCCCGACAACCCGACGCGTCCGATCTCCCCGCTTAACTTGGGCAGAGTTCCGCGTCACTGCGGCGCTTCGGGAGCCCTCCTCGAGGGGCGGACGCATCTTCTTCCATCTCATTTCGGGCGCCCCGTTCGCCTCCGTCACCCGCTGAGGCAGATCGCACGTAGACATCCTTAGAAGGGCCGGCAGCTACCTCACCCACAAAAAAACCAACTCTCCCTCACATTATCATTGTAACTTTGCTCACGTGCACTCTGCCAGATCCTCCCTCTGGTATTAGGACTGTGATGACATTCAGGACATCTACAGAGAAAAAAGAAAAACAACACAAGTGACTCTTGTGCCAGGCAGGGAGAAGTAGACCGAGAACTCCTGACTCCCCAGTATACTCAGTCAAGTTGGGTTCACCTCACATCCTCAACTGGGAGTGCAAAAAGTCCACACGGCACCTGAAGGAGCGGGGAAAAAAGCAAATCAATGAGAGGCGGCCTGGCAACACCCCACCGCACAACAACGGAATACCCACCTGCCCGCGGCATCGCCCTCTCACCCGCTCGGGCCTCTCCTGTCCGCACGGCTTCTCCTCTCGGCGACCGCCGGCACAATCTGCTAACACCAAACAGAGCACACCGTGAAGGGATGACACAACATTACCCGCCTGCAACAATATCCCGCAACAGCGACAGGCCCCCAAAGACTATTCCATCGGGGGATTACACACACTCTCACAGATCCGGACCATCGCTGTCAACCTTTGCACGCTACTACAGCCGACTCCCATAGGCGAGGCGGCTCCGACCGCACAAGCACAGCCACGCACGCAAACGACATTGGACAGACAGAGGAAAACTTGATGCAAGAGAGACCTGGTACCGCACGAAAGATACCGAGGGCCAGAGAAGCCCTAGGACATCGCGACCGCGGGGCCCCGACGCTCGGCAAAGAGCGGATCGAAGTCGAGCGACGACGCCGGGTCGGAAAGGGGCCGGCAAAGCCGGAGACGGTGATGAGGAAGAGGCCTTTGAAAAATATCCGAGGATGGAACAATGCGGGGAAGACGACCCCAAAAGGGTGCCCGGAAGACGCAAAACAAGACCGGCTACCGAGAGGAAAACGTGGCCTTATGAGGCCTTGATGACGGTCAAAAGCACAAACAGTCACCAATGGGGACGACCTGGAGATGGAGGAACAAAACACCCTGAGCTGCATTTGCGACACAAGATGGGATCTGCTGGCACGATGAGGAAAATTCAGGCCTGGCAGGAAGACAAAGGATGCCTACAGCACTACTGTCGCACAGTGCTGCATGCGTTCCCGATCCCCGAGAACAAGGGTGRCCTCAAGACCTGAGCAAAAGAGCACAGCTACAACAGGCACCACAGACCGGGCCGGAGCCGCCTGCCCTAGCAAGCCCGCGCTTTCTGCTGCGCAGCACCCGAGATGGCACCCTCGCGCACCACTCGTCCACAAGAGGTATCCAAACTAGACAGGCTGGCACCACAAGAGCACACCCACACACGCACGGACACACAACATCCCAACACCTTCCATCCCTCCACTTAGCTTGCGCTGGGCTCTGGGTCGCTGCGGCGCTTCGGGAGACATCCTCAGCTGGCAGGGGCACCTCCTTCAATCTTATTGTAGATGCGCCGTTGGCCACCGTCACCTGTCAGACCGGAGCACAAGCTGTCACCCTTGTAGCGGTTCGGCTCCCGCATCGGTCACAGAAACACCCTCTCGCAAAGTACCGCCGTCGCTCCGCTCGCCCGCGCCTCGCCGCGATTCGGCTCCGGTATCGGGGCTGTGATGACGCCGCCAAACCTACGCTGCGGTATTGGGACTGTGAGGACACCCAAGACACCTACAGAAAAAGCAAAACAAACAAAAAATAACCAGTGACTCTCGTGCTAGGCAGAGAGGATGTAGTCCGAGAACTACTCGGATCCCAGCCTACTCGGTCAAGTCTGCCTCGCCTCGCATCCTCATCTGGGAATGCAAAAAGTCCATGGGGCGCCTGAAAAGGCAAGGGAAAAAGCAAATGAGAGAGGCAGCCTGGCAACACCCCATCACACAACAATAAAATACAGGCCCACCGACCYACRGGCATCCCTCTCTCACCAGCTCAGGTCTCTTCTGCCCACACGTCTTGTCCTTTCAGCGATCCCCGGCACAATCTGCGAACACCAAAGAGACGGCACGCGTTGAGATGATGACCAAATCCACGCCCGCCTGCAACAATACCCCGCAATAACGTCACCGCCCCGCCCCACACCCAGATTATTCCATTGGAGAATAACACGCAGCTCCGGGCCATCGCTGCCGAGCTTCACGCTCTACTCTAGTTGAGTCTTGCGGGCGCGACGGCTCCGACCAGACAGCCACGCACACAAACATCATTGGACAGACACAGAAAAGCYTTATGCAAAGAAGACTTCTAGTCCTTAGTATCTTCCGAGCGGTATCAGAAGCTCAACGACACGGCTCCCGCGCACCTAAGAAAAAACACGGATCGAAGTCGGGTGACGGCGCCCGTGTCGGAAAGGGGCCGGCAAAGCCCGAGAGGGCGATGAGGAAGAAGCCTTTGAAAAAGATCCAATGCCGTAATGACACGGGGAAGATGACCCCTGAAAGGGTGTTTGGCCCGTGAATGGGGTCAGCCGAAATAGCCGGTTAGTGAGGCAGAGAATGGTCAAGTTTAYTGTTAATATCTAATAATACAGAAATGAAATAATGTATCTAATGAAACAATAGGCTTACTAGGCACTGGGTTTGAACTACAGACAGACAATAAGGTAATGCCCTTATCCATTACTACACACAAACAAAAATAGTGATTAGGGAAAAGATACATGACCTACTGCCTAAATACATTAATATCGCCCAGATCCGCGGTCGCCGGGGAGTCCCCGTTGCGGCGAGGATTTGGAGAACCTTCCCGGCAACTGGGAGCTCTCACGCGGTGCGTCCACCCGTAAGCGAGGTCTCCAAAGTCGCCGTAAGAGGGGCCCGGCCTTTATAAAGCCAAAAATCAGCAAGACTGCCATTTTCTTGGTTAGCGGTAACATCTGGTAGGTCACGCTTTCCCTAGCTTCCGGAACCGGGACCTGGCCACAGCCCCGGCTTCGGATGGGAAAGGTCCCTTCCGAGTCAAAACTATTTGCCTGAAAGCCTACGGAAGCTACAGTTCAATGAGCCTATGTGCAGGTTAGAAACAAGTTACAAGCAAGTTCTGCTACTGCAGCAAAATGAGAGCCGTTTTCTGCTGTAAGTCGACCCTGGCTTGAGCCTGTCTTTCAGGTCCTGACGGATCACCTGAGAAGGTGCAACACAAGACTGGCTACCAAGAGGAAAATGCAGCCTTATATGGTCCCATTGACGGTAACAAGCAGGAACGGCCACCGATGGCGATGCCCTGGAGATGGAGGGACGGAACGCCCCCGAGCCACTTCACGGCGCGGGATGGGATCCCCTGGCACGATGAGGACAGCTCAGGCCAGGAGGGAAAACAGAGGATGCCTACGCTACTACTGCTGCACAGAGCCAGATGCATTCACAAACCGTAAGAACAAGGGCAACCTCAAGACCTGAGCAACAGAGTGCAGCCACAACGCTCACCGCAGAGACACGGGCTGGACACCTCTGCCCTAGCAAACCGACGCATTCTCCTGCGCAGCACATAACATGTATGTGTGAGCAACCCCTCTTACTTGTTCCATCTCCTCCTGCCCACTCAGCTTCTCTTCTCAGTGGCAACCGACAAAATATATAACGACAGAGAGAAGAGCACGCTTTGAGGAAATGACAAACCCAAACCGACCCAAACCAAGCGCAGCGATATCCCCCCAAAACACCTTTACCTCTTCTGATGGCGGACTACACCTCTAACCTGTATGCCACAACAGCTACGTCCGCCACAGCACCTCTAAAAGCAGAACGGCAGTGGGAGAGAGGGACGTTGTTAGTCCAAAACCAGTCCCACGTTAGGCTGCGCTTCGTCTCACGGGCCGAGGCTCGCCTCGCCCCGTTGCTTTGGACGCGAGCGACCCGTTCTGCGCCTTACTTGACACCTCGCCACCTACAGGCGCAAAGGTAAAAGTCATCGAGAAAGCCTACTGACCGCAACAMTCTCCTCCTTCCAACAACTCCCTAGCTCCCCTTCAGATTAAAGCAGAACCCTTTCTTGCTCCATTTCTTTTGGAAACCTCAGGAACACTGCTCTGGATCTGAAGTGTGGGAAGGGGAGGAACAAGGAAAAAAAACACACAACCCCCCCAAAAAAAGTTTTATATAAATCAGGGGAATTACCCACGAGCCGATCAACCGCTGCCCCGGGCCATCGCTGACATGCTTGACGAGCTACTAAGCTACTACAGCCAACTCCCRCAAGTGAGGCAGCTCCAGCCCCAAACCAACAGGCACACAGATAAATAAAAATTCAAAAAGCGAGCGTCCATGTAGAAAAAGAGACAGCAAATCTGGAAATTGCGAGGCGGAAGTCATTGTCTAAAAAGACTGGAGTCTGTGACGATGCAGGGAAGATAACCCTGAAAGCGTTCTACGAAAGTGCAAAACAACACCATCCTCCAAAGAAAGACACACACAGAAAAGGCCTCCGAGACCATCGCGACGCTCGCCGTCTGAAAATGGACGCGAGAGAGTCGGAGGGACGGAACGCGTCTTGGGTGCGTTCGCGGGACGAGATGGAATGCGCCGACAGACTGATGATGATGATTCGGGCCTGGCAGAAATGCAAAGGATGCCTACGGCGCTACTATTGGGCAATCATGCCTACAGCACATTGCGGGATGAACTGTGGTGTTTGTGGCACAAGCAACAACATCAATCTCAAGACTAGAACAGAAAGTGCAGCTACAACATGCGCCGTGGAGACACAGGCTGAAGCTGCCGGCCCTAGCACACCTGTGCTTTCTCCCCTGAAASGCACAAACCTGCTAACATCACTCAGGGAAAAAAAAGCATGCGYGCAGAGACCCCAAACCCCTCTACCGCTTCACTTAGCTTTTGCGGTGCTGAGCAGGATGACAGGACCTCGGGAGCGCTCCTCAGTGGCCAAATGCATCCCGTTCTGTCTTGTTTGAGATAGTAGTCCATCCGGTGACAGGTGGCTCCTGCCTTGGTCGTGAAAAAATTATCCTCCGAAGTACAGCTGTGGCCCTGCTCGCCTGTATCGTGCAAGACCGACTSCGTGGTATCGGGGCTGCGGTGATACCTAGAACAAACAAAATGGCCGACTGACCCTTCTGCTAGGCAGAAATGGCTACTCCTYGAACCGCCGACACACCATTATATTCAGTCTGCCTCACCTCAAATCCGCAGTCGGGAATGTAAAAGGGCCGCTCGCGACCTAGGAAAGTGAGAAAAGGCAAATCACCAAGAAACAGACCAACAAGACCCCAATAGAGAACCAATCAAAAATACACTCGAACGCCGCTGTCACCTGCTCAGGTCCATTGCGTGCGCTCACGTTCTCCTCTCGACAATTGCAAACAACATCTACAACACTGAAAAAATAGCCCTCTGAGGGGAGGACAAAGCCACACCCCAAACTCTACAATATTCCCCAACACCACCTTCACCTGTTCTGCAAGCCGGGATTGGGGAGATGACCCCCGCCGCAAGCGAGGCTTCGCAGGCTCGCACGGAGCGACGCTCGCTTTTCCGTGCCGCTCCCCGATGCCGGCGACCCGCTATCCGCATTCCTTGACAAAGGAAAATGTGATTGAGAAAGCGCACAGACCAAAAGATTCTCCTTCCAACATCTCTCTAGCTCACCTTCTTTAAGGCAGGACCCTTTCTGACTCCAGCTCTTTTGGAAACCCTGCAAACACTGCTCTGCATCAGAAGAGCAAAATAAACAACCACTAGGCCTGACCAAAAAACCCCCGCTCCGTCCCCCCAAAATACATGAAGACGTGAGGCAGATGACGCACGGGCCGGATGGATCGCCGGTCCGGGCCATCGTGAGGAATCTACGGCCCTGCACCGACAGCTGTGCACACAAACATTAGACAGAGAARAGTCATATGCAAAAAAAKMACTATTACAGCACAWAAGATTCCGAGGACTAGAAAAATCCTGTGAGATCGCAACTGTACGGCCCTGATGCTCAGCACGAGCGCGGATTGAAGTGCCCTTTCTGCAAAGGCATCCAATAAATATGCCACCTTTACCTGGTTCACGCGCTTATCTCTAGTGCCATGGTTAAGGGAGACCGTGCCTCCCACAGTACCCATAAAAGCAGAATAGGCATCGGGGACTAGGACGGCACCGGCACGATGACCGCCCCACGCTAAGCTCGGCTTCCGCTTCGTCCGCGCTCGGCGTGCCGCGCTGCTCCGGGACGCGACGGCCCGCGTCTCTGCGTTGCTTTGCACCCATGCAGACTAAGCGAAAGGTCATTGAGAAACCCCACTGCCTACAAGATTTTTGTTATGACAGTTCCAAAGCTCACCTTATGAGAGCATAACCTTTCATTCCCCCCTTCCTGAAGCTTTAAGTCCAGGGCAACACAGCTGCAACAACAACACAAAAACAAACAAAAAACCCACCACACACACACACACACACACACACACACACACAGACCTTGAAACCATGAACTGCAACACACCAAAATTGAGGGGATGCCCATCCACCCCCTCTTTGCACCACCGTCACCAACAACTGCGCTGAAGTCAGTTTCGGCCCCAGACAGGCTCCGTTAGACAGACACATGGAGAGAAGCTCCATGCAAGCAAAACTCTTTGGACACGTAATAAAAAAAAAATGAGGACAGGAAAAACCAATGAGGTCACAGTCGGGCACCTCTCTTGCTCTGGGTAGTTCCGGAAAAGGGTACGATGCCGCTCCTCCCGATGGAAAAGGGAGGTCGAAGCCGAGGTGATGGCTGATGAAGAGGAGAGCTGGAAAGAAGCTCAGGCTATAACAAAACAGAGGAAAAACCCAAGAAAATGCCATAAATGTCAAGAAAGGCTTCGGTAAGATGACCATCTGCAATGCTAACGTGGAAGACTGCTTCTTATTGCAGAAAGGGATGAGATGCGCTGACGCAACGTCATTGAGTCTTGCTGTGTAGAGGATGACAGATGCCTACGGTGATGGAGCTGCGTGCTGTGGAACCCATGGAGACGCAGCAAGGATAAAATGCAGCTACAAAATACAAAGGCTGCAGACTATACAGTTCCACAGACACAAGCCTGCCTGCCCACGCAAATGCTTGCCTGTTCACCGAGAGACGTGCTCTGCTATATATAATGAATAGGTGGCACTCATACAAAACGTCCGTCTGTGCCACGACCCAGGTGAAAGCAAATTCACAGAGGAAAAACTTCCCTGCATCCTTCACCATTCTGTTTATCTTTAGAGTGCTCCAGATGGCTGTTGAGCAACAAGACAAGTTCTCAAAGACAGGTGTCTTTCCTCCCCCTTTCCTCTTAGAGACCCTTCATCGCTGGCAAAAGTTTAAAAAATGAAATTTAATGGCTAAAAAGGATGAAAGTGGAGATTTGGGACATTCAAATGCCCCAGGTTAAGGTTTGCTTTTTCAAGGAGAAAACAACAACAACCCTCCCATTACCTTTCAGCTCCATCTTCAATGTAGCAGTCTTACTGGGCAAAATAGCTTATCGTCTCCAAAAAAACATGAATAACTGTTCCTAGAGATCTTTAATGCCTCAGTGACAGCTGTTTGCCAAAACCACCTACCCCTACTACTGCCCTAGAGGAGCAACAGCTGAATGAGACCCTTCCTCCTGGTGCCAAGGTTTTTATAGCCCTGGCCCCACCCACCGTCCTACTGGGTGGTCCTGGCAGAGGGAGGAGCCCACTAATGAGCCATAAATATATAGGGTTGGGTAGCTGCAAGGCTTTTCTTTCCTGAGGTGAAAGAGAAGGTGCAGAAAAGATAAACATCCTGGTGAGAAAAGACCCTCGCTGAGACTTCTAAGACTCTATGTTCAATATAGCAAGAGGTCTGTTATTAAAATTCTTTTAATGCCATATATTAGTAGACTAGGTATTAAAAAAGTTTTATGTAAGGAGAGAAAGAGAACTATCAAAGCAAAAAAAAAATTAATGAGGAACAATGAGAAAGTTTGGGGGGAAAAAAGAGCTAATGGAATGGGAAAAATTATTTATGGGAAAGAGGAAGAATGTTTGGAAGGAGAAAAAAAATTATTGGGTGAAGAAGCAGGGAGGGAGAGAGTAAAAGTTAGGAATAACAAAGAACAAAAAGACTTCGTATCAGAGCGAGAATGGGAATTAGTGTCGGGGGAAAATAACAAAGAGTGAAAAACTGATTGGGGGAGAGGTTCTTATATGAAGATAATTATTACCACAAGAAGAAGAAAAGTATTAGATGGAGAGGAAGGAAAAGCTGGGGGAATATGAAGAGAATACTTATGTGGTGTGCCATAGAATTCATAGGAGAATAAGAATAAGATTATTAGTGAAAGAAGACTAGAATTCTGAAGGAACTGGGAAGAAAATAATTAGGGGAGGAAGAAGAGAATTATTAGCAGGAGAGGAAGAGAATAACGACGGGAATACAAAGAAAAATAGATATGGGTCATTCGAGAGAATTATAGGGAGAACAGAAATAAACGCAGGAGCGGGAGAACAGGAGATTTCCGAGGGAAAGAGGAAGATAAACATCTCTGGACGCAGAAGAGAAAGATGAGTTAGAGAAGTGGGGAAGAAGTTGGGGAACAAAATGAGAATAACTACGTGGGGTGCAAGGCAGTTATTTGGAGAATAAGATTATTAGGAGGAGAGAAGGAGAAATCATTCCCTCAGAAAGAGGAAGACTAAAATACCTGCAAGAAGAGGAGAGCATTAGCAGAAGAGGAAGGGCATGACTAAGGCCTTCGAAAATCAATTATTATGTGGCGTGCAAGAGAATGATTGCAAGAATAGCAATAACAATGTTCACGAGAGGTGAAGAATTCTGAGGGAATTAAGAGGAATATGATTCCCTCAAGAAGAAGAGCAGGAATAGCCAGAAAGTAAGAGAAGAGCTGGGAAAATACAAACAGAAATATTAGGTGGCATGCAAGAGAATCACTAGGAGAACAGGAATAAAATTACTCACGGGAGAAGAGTAGCGTTCTGAGGGAAACAGGAAGATAATGACTACGAGAACAGGAAGAGAGACTATTCGCTGGATAGGTGTGGGAACGGTTATGGGCACAAAAAGAGAATAATGACATGGTAGGTAAGTCAATTTTGACAAAAAGAGGAATATAATTATTAGGTGGAGAGGAAGGGAATTCTAAGCAAAATGGGAAGCAAATTATTATGGGAAGAAGGAGAGAACTATTAGTCGGAGAGGAAGAGAAGAACGAGAGGAAGATCAAGAAAATTGTTATGTGTCATGCAAAGGAACTATTGGGAAAGGAAGAATACAAAATGTCAACAAGAGAGAAGAAGAATTCTGACCGGAATAGGGAGACAAATATTACCGGAAAAAGAAGAGAAGTATCAGGCGGACAGGAAGGGAACCAGTAGGGGAATAAAAAGAGAAGTATTGGCAGCATAGGAGTAGAATCCTGTGCCGTAACAAAAGGGAAATCGGGGGGAACTCGGAAGAAAATGCTTAGCGGAAGAAGAAGAGAACTATTAGCCGGAGAGGAAGAGAAGAGCCAGGGGACTGCAAAGAAAATAGATATGTCTCGTCCAAGAGAACGATGGGGAAAATAGGAATAAACTTATGAGCGGGGGAAGAGGAGATTTCCGTGGGAAACAAAGATAATTATTTCCCAGAGGAAGAAGAGAAAGATTAGCTAGGGAGGTGGGGAAGAATTTGGGAAATAAAAAGAGAATCAATACGTAGTGTGCAAGGCAATTATTGGGAGAATAGGAATAAAAAGATTAACAGGAGAGAAGGAGAAATCTGATGGAAAGAGGAAGACTAAAATCTCTGCAAGAAGAAGAGAGCATTAGCGGAAGAGGAAGGGCGTGAGTAAGGCCATCTAAAGACAATTATGTGGTGTGCAAGAGAATGCTTGCAAGAATAACAATAAAAGTATTAGCGGGATGTTGCGGCATGTGGCGAAGCTTGGGACAAGCATAGGCATCCAATACGAATGCTGGTAATGCCAAAGCTTTATTGTGAT